AACCTCGGAAAAGGAAAGGCCACCGTGATACAAACAATCCGTTTCCCCTAAAAACTTATAGCCCCCATCCCCACAAAACTCCTAGTCGAGCAAACAGTCTTCTTGTATTCTTCCCGAAATGAAACATTCAACGTGAAAACAAGAGCCGTGACATTCAATTAACATTTCATTATGACTTTATTTGAATATCAAATGAGACTTAATATACATTTACCGGATATAGCTAACGCACTTTTTGACACGCTGGTATTTGGTTCTGGGAAAACGAGCAGCTGCCTTATTTCACCTAATAATATATTCAAATAGAAAAATACAAACGGACAGAAAAAGAAAGAGTTACTTTCAAGTACCACAACACTATGCTATTATAAGGCCGAAAAAATAAACTATTCTCAATTGTAATGAGGCACAAATATATTTAAGCTATATTTAACTTAGTAAGCTTAGTAAATTAGTGGCTTAGTAAATTCTTTTAAATGTCCTGTACGTTTTTTATAAAAACAAGACCACGCGACAAAATAAGTTATACTAATTCTGAATAAAATGAACGGAACTTTTACATATGACTTCATATTATGTTAACATGTCTATTCTATGAACTAAAATCTATATACAGAGATAAAAAAATAAAAAATATTTTTCCTATCCCTTGGTACAATAAGGATACTAACTCATAATTACTAGAAAGATAAAACGAATACCTAAAATACGCCAACTTTTCTGTTTTTATGTGACATAGTATTGTCTACAAATGCTCTATTTCAGTTAATACGAATAAATAGAAATAGTATTGTAAAAAAATAGTTGTTTTCAAGTGAAGCATGATATTCGAGCAAAAGTGTATATATAATGTATGAATCTTGGAAATAATAACGGAAACGAAATGATATATTCTTGGGATGTTGTCGAAGTTTACAGAATTATTTATCATGCGCGGAAGTGATTCGGTTCGGGTTAAAGTTATATGTAAAATATGGCTAGTGGAAAAGTTTTGTTGATCTTGAGGCTTCAGAGACCATATATGACATTTGCATGAAATAATGCAGCGCTATTTGAACAAATACATTACATGTTGGGACACTTTGATATTTTTCATCATGACGAAGTTTATAAAAAAATAATAAAAAAGTACAGGCTGGAGTATACAGAATCTCAAATGAGGAACCAAATGGACAATAAGTATCACAGATCGTCAAACCATATGTCCTGAAAGATTGATAGTGAGATTTCTGTGAGCTTAGAAAAAGCCGACATCAAGCAAACAAGTGTTAAGAGAGCTATAATTCAATAATAAATAAGAGAGACTTCATCCAAAAACAATATTCTTGATTTTGTCTATGAAGATTTAAACAAACAATTATATTTAAATTTTCAATTATGCAAGAGAAAATCAGCACGTTTTTGTGAGAAATTGGATACATTTAGGTTACCCAAGAATCTACCTTTACGCTGACAAATATGAAAATGATTAAAATCGATGGTACTAGTTGCAGGTTTTATATTGTCAATGCTGTTTCTCAGTTCTAGCATATTTGATTTATTTATCCTACGGATGATATATTTCAGCACCTAAGAAACATAGCGATGAAGAAAGGGTACAAAAGAGAACGTTTCGAATTTAGTGGGCGAATATTAAACGATGATGGGACAATCAAAATGATGCAGCCAACGAATGGAAGGATTTTGGAGACATTAGCATACCGGGACCGTGAATATAGATTACTTGGGCGACAATAGAGACCTCGGCGGTTGGAAACAGTGAACAATAAACGCTCGTTTATATCCAAGAGTGATGGAGTAAGCTGCAGCTGACACTACAATACATCATTTACGATGAAATGCATTGTCTTTCTTAAACCATAAATTATATTAGTGGAATCAGCATTGCAGGCCGCGCTCCGGGAGACTCCAAGCGGTTCCAGTTGTGGACGATGTCGCCAGGTGGATTTTGCATAATTCAATAAGACGGTCGTGGTAAAGATGCCGAGGAAGATTATTATCTTTTTATATACTATATCATATTTTTTTGTACAAAATACATAAAAAATATTTTTATCATAAAAAAATATAAATTGCGGTTAGTATCCACCAAACACGGTTAATGTAATGTAAAGATATAATATATTTTATCAATCAATCGGCACATTCCTATCAAATCTACAAATTCTGAAGTTTTTTTACAAAAAATAATTACTTAATTTTCTTATGAAAATCAACAGTTGAATTTATAGTAACAATTTCCCGCTTCAAACCACACAATATAAGGGGAGAAAAATAATTTCTCGCTGTACAATGAGTAAATAGAAATAGAATTCCTCTTTGGTATTGACAGGCATATTGAAAAAACTAATCAAACTAACAAAAACTTCTAAAATTGTATAAGTCGCACATTGAAATGTTTTCATAAATCGTGATTGTAATTTCCGTGAATAACTATTATGTGTCCATTGCAGAAACTGAAATGAATTTGCTACCCGCAAGCCACAATACAAAGCAAAAAACATACATATATATATTATACATAGGTATATATAATATGTATGTATGTGTAAATGTATAATCAAAAAAATACATAAAATTTATTTTGCAAAGTAAGAATAAAATTTGGTTAAATTATACTCAAATAAGGAACTGGTAATAAATTTAGTATTTTTCCCTAATGGTTTAAATGTAGTATCCAATCAACTAATTAGTAATTTTGTAATATTATGCTCGATATATTGATTAAATACTATATGATGAATATCAATTCATAACTAATATTTATAATTTTTTGTTAATAAATTTTAATTTTTTTAATTATATACAAAAATGTTGAATTTTAAGCTTTTTTGCATTCTACGTTATATTTATAATGAATTATGTAGAAATATAGAAGTTCATAAATATTTCAATTTTTAAAGAAAAATAATGAACAAAGTTGGTAGAAAAGTGTACAGCAATGCATGTACATTTACCATATTTTTCTCATTTATCTAATAATTGTACAACCTGGATAATTAATTACAAAGGGAATATAAGATATTAATGTTTCCAGGTTATGCATCAATAACAATCATGACATACAGAATTTTGTTTTGCTGTATCATTGTAGTCAGATATATTTCTATGTAGTTAAATCATTTGTTTATGCTTCACGTCTCATTACTAACCCCGTTTCGAGCTGCTATGATGACATTAAAGGGCGTTGAAATTTGATGATATTTCAAACGACCGAGTAATTAAAATACAAAAATATGAGATACGAATTTAAATAGAAACAAGTCCATTAAAAATAATTTTGGTGATGAAAATTGATATTCAAAATATATCGTCAAGAATAATGATTTCAAGTAACTATCAAAATAAATATATTAGTAAACAAGTGTTCCAAAAAGCAGATAGACATCTTCAGGATACATCTTAAATTATCCCAATTCAAAGGTACACCATTTAGAAGCTCCTGGCACGTAATTACACAAACAACTCAACTTTGTTCGCCTTGACCTATATTCTTAAGTCTACTAGTAAACCGTCCAACATTTTTCAATAGTTTGCGGAATTGCATAGGATGCAATTGTGCAATGATTTCTTTGCCTGCCCCCACTCCGGGGCTTGTTTTACGAATTGGGCCTTTCTCAGTGGGCCACGATATTAAGAACGGAGCTTTGGGCGCCTGCGTGGCCGAGAACCGCCGTAGCGCGCGCAAGCCGTAGGCGTTTCTACGTAGGCACGACAGAAAATGTGTACGATATGCAATTACAATAAAACCATAATGATGTATTCGCGAAATTAGTAGGTGGACACAAATTGCACCTTGAAATTTAATAAAACCGATCGAAATGCAATCACTATAATAGATTATTCGGTATAAGATATTGCATTTCTGTCCTGGTAAAACAAATTATGTATTTCATAACGATCAGAATAGTTGTTTAAAAAAATAAGTAAAGTTCTCTTGAAATTTTTAAATCATCAAAAATTATATCCAGCATACTAGTATGTACGCTATAAGCTCATTTTTAATAAAACTATATATAATATATATGATATTGAATTTTAATTTCCGTTTTACTCATTGTCAAATAACAGTTTGTATCCACCTATCATTTTCAGAAATGCATTGGTAGTAGTTACAAAAAAAAAGATTGATTTAGTATATATACCTTTCTCTTGATAATCATAATTTTACACGTCCTTAGATTTTAATTAAAAATGTTAAATATTTATATTCTAAATTTTTTTTATTATTATTATTTTTATTTAAACTTAATAATTATTTTAAAAAATTATATATGTTAAATGTTTAATTATTCTTGTTTAAACCTCATAATTGTTTGTTTTATCACACAATAATTTATTTGCTGCAAAAATTCAATAATAATTTTTTTAGAAATTTACCCAATTTTACAAGTGAGCATCAGGTATATCATGAAAAATTCGTATCATGAAGTTAGTAGGATATTATAATGTTAACCTGTGCGACATTTTCATAAATATACTAATTGTTGCAAAATTATGATATTTATAATAAATTTATTCAAAAACTTCAGTGCCAAGATGATTATGAATATAACCACAATTATCTTTTTTATACAAAAATTGGAAAAGTAAATATAAAAAATGTAATAAAAATTTTGAATCCCAATTTAAGATAAACGATGAAATGATACGATATTTTAAAAGATGAAACACCAATATAATTCCTATTATATTGCTGTGTGATGTCTTTATCATGAACATGATATATATAAACATCAACAAAATTTATACTTTTAGCAAAAAATAATTATTTTTAATTCGCAAACTTAATTTCTATGTCAGCCATCATTTCGCGGCTCCAATCCTGGAGAAGTATCAGCTCCTAAACTTTGATTAAAATTAGCAAAAACACGAATGACTTGAGATAACTAATACGTAAACATCCAACTGATATACATTTTGATATATAATTAATCATATCATGGGCGATGCACAAACACATTACAAATTCTAAAGTGACAGCGATGCATTCAACTTACCTCCACGATTTTCACTGTCTGCCGGCTTCACCTGAATAGGACGGTTCATCTGGAAATAGAAAGAAAATTCTATAAGTAAAGGTGACCAAAAAATCTAAATAAATCAATCTATTAAGGACAAATTATAAATTTTTGCGCTAATTATATAATGATCATATGAATTATTATTAAATAAAAATATTTTAAAAGGTAAGGTATTTATTTGATGTATTATCTCGCAAATTTTATAAATATTTATATTGTATATGTATATGTCAGAGAGAGTGTGTGCGTTAGTCTGTGTAATTGTAAAAAATTACACCTAAGCGTAAACAGACGTGTTTTACGTTGCAAATGCAACAATTTGTCCTCTGTTTCGATATTGACGCCTCCCTTAAAGTGATACAAATGGTTTTAACTCCGTTGTCAAATGGAAAAACACCATTAATCACAATTTGAAGCACGCGCGTAATAGCCTCCGAGCTGCGTTTCAATTATTTGTCGCACTATGCGTTCGGACTATTGAAAAACGGCATTATTGTTGTTAATGAATAAAATTTCAATATATTTTCATTTTGAATTACATAATTCACAATTAAAAATAGAAACACATGGAATCAATTTATATCATGTACTACTGATAGAATAGAAGCTCGATGCTTCTTCAAAAATTTTTTTTGTAGGTCACATAATTTTTATCACAATATTTAGGACAAGTTTATTTGTCTCAGAAGTAAAAGCTTATTTAATAATTAAAAATGCATTTACATTGAATAGATCATTAATCCAAATAATGGGTAATAACAAAATAATTAAATGGGCATCAGAATTACTCTGAATACTACATGACTCTTGAATTGACAATCAATAACAACATCCACAGAATGCAAGTGAATTCGTAAATTATTTACGGGGTAATGAGGATTTAACTTGAAACATAACGAAACATGATACATTATATATGTACATGGCAATATGCATAATTCACAAATGCAATCCCTAGGTCGATGTATTTAATAATCCGTTGAAATATAATAAGCGCAAATAGAGTCCCGTCTGTTGTATTTGCAATTTTGTGGAATCGTATTTGCTACGATAGTTCCAGGAAAATGGGAAATATATTTTAGTGTGTCGTGGTAATAGATAATATTTTACCAGTTTAATCGTCAAAATTTAAAGGGATGTAAAATTATAATTAAAATATAATATCATTTTTAATTTTTTTATCAAACATAAATTCCATGAAACTTATATGTATGTAGATATATACTTGTGTGTTTGTGTATTTGTCTGATATTCAAATATTTGTTCCCGTTATGTTCATATAATGTCAAACAAAACTAGAATACAAAAAGAAATAAGTTTGGATCAGCCCGAATTACTCACTAATGACTATATAATAGAAAACATTACAGGTGGACATTAGTAAACGTAATATATGATATCAGTCATACAACATTAAAGATTAGAAATGACTAAATATAATATAGTATAGTACCAAATAACATCAAAGCGATTTGCTTTATTCTATATTACAATTTTTAAATTTTTAATTCTGGTGTAAGGAGCAGCGGTGAATCAAGTGAATAGAGATGATTTTCTAATTTGTCTTCAATATATAGCACATTTGTATAATTATGCAGAGTTTTATCGCTCATGTACCAGAGTAACCTGCCATCTTTCTAAGTAGGTTTGATTCGGCCCGTTGTACCAATGTCACATTAGATTTGCCAGAGAAGCAGTAAAGCTCTATTCCATATGATCAGTTAGAAATTATTATCGTTTTATAAACCAAGATTTTGTTATGGTATGCTAATTTAGAATTATGTCCAATAAGCCAATAAAGTTGGCTAACTCTGGATTTGATAGTTTTGTTTGTGGTGGCGTTTCCATATTAGTCTGCAGCATTGTACACCTAGGTATTTAACATAACCAAGTAATCATAACAAGGAATAACGTATTATTTATTGCAGTGTCTACTAATTATTGTCAAAATATGCTGTCACAGCACAAATTAATTTAAATTTTATCCTTGACCGACAAACAGTAAAAGCGTTCCTTCCAGCGCTCCATCTAATCGAATTCGAACGCGGCTGTGGTTTTCCATTGTTTCCCAGGCGCAGTCAAAATGTTCCGCACACACATCTACATACGTATGTACAAAATTCAATTTGATTTTGCGTTTGAGCGTTTTAATTAAATGAAATCCTTCTATTGTTGTTGATGTACTTTGATGTAGAGTACCCGATTCAAGGTCGAAATTAATCAGCCCCGGAATACGTCCTTGTGATAATATTCGAGAAATCCTATTGAATTCCGTTATGCATTACTTGAAAGATTAATCTATTGCGTGTAATGATTTTGATTACAAATATTCATATGGTTTAGGTAGCTTTGAATTGCTAATGTGGATGCTGTATTCAAGTACCAGTACAATGGTATTAGCTAAGGAGTTATTGGTAATATTAACTAGCAAGCAATATTATTACATTATATTCATTCTACAACTGAACATCATTAGCACAATAGATACAAGTATATAGATGTTAATATTCCTAGTATTTTTCTTTAACAATTGTCCTTGCTACTTAATTAGTTCTAAGATTTGAAAAAAAAACCTAATGCAATGTCAACATCACTTATTTGTAACCTAAGTATGCAGTGTACTGATAACTTTCACACAAAAAATGTAGAAACTTGAAAATTGAGAAAGGTGAAGGTAAAGCAAATGATAAAATACTATAATACTATGCCATTTAACCAGTTAACTGCGATTAACGAATATATTCGTCATGAAAAAGTGACAACATTTCGTGTATTGCCTAGTATGCTCGTATTGGATTGCAATTTTTGAAAAGGAAGAAATAAAACAAATTCTTAAACAAGCTATTCAAGATATTTTGAAGCTATGCCAGTATAAAATAAACAATTGTAAGTGGCCTTTTACCAAAAACAAAATTTTATCTCGATTCTGACGACATAGAATCATGAGACGTACGTACAATGAGAGTGCCAGAGTTAAGTACTTAATATAAATGACAACTGTTTAAACTACCAAATAACATGCAGTTATTGACGATATATAATAGAATAACTGCATTTTTTTCAACTATACACAAATTGTAAATAAAGTAAAAAGAGAGTAATTTTTTTTTTTATTTGTTCTTATAACCAATCTGAACCTTGGGTTCAATGAGGTTATTTGCTGACGGGTACAGGGCTTTTAAAAATTCCCCCAGTGGGGAACTTCCTTACATAAATTTATTGATTGTTAATTTATTAAATCTTGCGGCCACTAGAGAGTAAATGTAATCAATAACCCAGGGGTACAAAAACTTTTGCATTGAGAATCTGTGACCTTTATCCATTTGCCCTAAGTCTGCCTGCCTACCCAGGTTTGTAATGCACCTGCACATGTATGCGTATGTCATTTAATATACCTGTCCCCGGCGTTTGTCGCAGAATAACGTATAAAAGCCAGGGCGATCGTCCAAATAAATCCTCCGTTAGCAGAGAGGGTTCTGTTACGTAATTTGGAGAGTAATGCGTTCATTACGGACAAAGCGTCGGCTGTCATGAGCGGCGCGAACTGACGACACGGAGTTCGAAGAACTAGACGGGAATGCACTACAGTAGTAGTTTGGCAGTTAATTATTCTATGGAGCAAGTTAGAATTAAACAGGTATAATTCAGATATACCATTTGGGGATTTCAAATTATCAGTTTGTTTCAAAGTTTTACTGGATCAGTGGCTATTGAAATGGTTAGATGACCAAATGATGACCAAATTTCAAATAAATGCTCCGAAACAAATAGTTTTGCACGTAAGAAGTAAGAACATATTGTAAGAAGTATATTCATACTTGATATTTTGAAAAAAATTCATTTCAACACCGCGCTACGCGAAGTCAAACTAATACTACGGTTATCCCCATTGGAGGTTAAATTTTATAAGTTGATATAGTATAGAACTACTTTTGATAGAACTATATTATGTAGTAATGCTAACGATATATCCGTCAAAAAACATGATCTTGATAAGATTCAAATAAACAATATATTAAAGAAATGTTCGAATCATATCAAGATCATATTTCTTGAGAAATGTACTGAAGATGAAACGTACCTAGTTCCGAAACGTCGACAGTAAATAAATAAATTGTTTTTTAAAAAACTGTTTTGTCCTTTATTAGTATTTAGATTTTTTGTTTGAAACTCTACAAAATATTTACAAATCGAAGAGTAAATATTTATCCAAAAATAATAGGTAAGACTGGGTACGGTTGTGTCACTTTTGTGAACAGCAATAATTTTGTTAATTTTCCAGTCCTTTAATACGATGGATTAGTTATAAAATCAAGTCATACATGAAAAGGGCGAATATCACAACCATCCATACCCATTGACGGTTGAAACAGGCATAAAAATAGGTAAAAAAACAACGCTTAAACAACAACTTATAAATATAGATAGATGGGTTACCTTCTGACAGTCATGATCAGAATAATAATTAACAAAACAATTAAAATGAATCCATATAGTAAAAAAGAGATTGTGATCTATATGTAAAAAATATAACACTGAATGAAATATAAAATAAAATTTGTTATTTTAAAATCTATAGCACAATGAACTAAATATTACTCTGAGTTTAGTTCAGCTCTGTCTTATTGCAGTGACTTTAATGCGCACGTTGCAGCTACTCTGATGAGTAAAATAAAGTAAAAATGTGATCCAAAACCATAAAATATGTAAATGAAAAGCTCTTTTTCAGTTATTTTCTATTTATAGCGTTTATAGCATTAAGTTATGTTTGTATAATAATTGATGTTGCCTGAATATATTTAGTACGCATTCTATTTGCTTGCAAATTATGTTTGTATACACCTCAGCGTATCCTTTATCTCTGAGAACGTAGCTCTCTCAATCAAAGCTTTAAATATCTGTCATTTACGTTTCCTTCATACACCATAAGCGCCTTTGCTCCTTGGAGTTCTATAAAACATCATATTCTATTCATAACCATAATGACTAAATCATTCCGAAGCATACTCGTATTATAAGACCTCT